TCTCGCTGGCTCGTTGTTCATCCTGAAGGTTATTTCATGCCACCATTCAACTGATTTACTTATCGTTTCGCTATCATTACAATAGTGCCACTGTTGATATTTATTGAAGCAATCACCAGTGGATTTATAGATTGCTGGGGCGATGGCAGAGCAAGGTACGAATGCAGATACAATAGCGGAGATATCAACGAGAATCAACGAAAGAATCGGTATTTGCAAATTATATTGTAGAGAACACAGCTAGTGGCAAGAGTAACGCTGATAATTAATATACTTTAAAGGCACCATCGGAATAAGTCTATCGGCATGCAGTATACCTGGTAAAGGGGCGATGTTCAAGTTAGATGACAAGGAAATGGAATTGGGATTGGGCATACATGGTGAACGGGGATGTGAAAGAACTGAAATGAAAAGCGCAAAACAAATTGCTGAAATACTCATGGAAAAGTTGGCAAAAAGTAGTAAAAATTGCTTACAAAAAGGTATTCTTCATTAGAATATCATTGAATAATGACAAATATTTGAGGATTCTTCAATAAACTGAAATGCTGATATTAGGTTATTCCTGAAACAGCAACAATTATTTGGATTTAAATAACTGATTCAGTTGTGAGCAATTTAAAGGTAAAAAAGTAGCTGTCATATTGAATAATCTCGGTGGAACGTCACAAATTGAAATGAATATAATGGCTGGTGAAATCATTAATTGGTTATGTAAGTTATGCTCTTATTTCAATCGTAAATTTACTCACCTTTCGAAATTGCAATCAACCGATCCATACTGTGCCATTGGCACCATTGCCAACCGTGCCTGAGTTATCTGCATCGCTCAATTCGTGCCAGTCATCAGCCCAAGCTCGGGCGAGGTCTTGTTTGAAGCTTGAGTAAACTGGTGAAAGTATGCTTAACATACCGTAAAGACCGAAGTTGTGCTGAAGTCAGGTTCAGATCACGTATTATGGAAATGATCAATTGTTAATTAGATCAGCAGTGATATAAAACGATCGAAATCCAATGAGTGCAAATAAATTTCAAGAATATCAACGAAAATCGCTTGCTCGCCATTCACTGAATCTTCGCTACTCACTCGAATTGCTCAATTAGATATCTGATTGCGTTTTGTGAATAGGTAATGAAAAATAATGCTGTATGACTGAATAAAAGAAGTCATGTTCACTTCCTTCCCAACAATAAAAATTCATAAGATGCATTGATATATTGTTATGATGACAGACAGGTTGTTCATTCATCTCTTACAGGTTCGAATGATTATACAATTGCACGTTTCTATTACGGCACTTTGATGACGTCCTTAGATGGACACGGAATCAGTGTGAGCGTTCTTCGTTTAGATGAAGAGCAGTGGATCGAACTGCTCGGTTAGTTCTTTTAATGCTATTATTTGCGATGGATAATATTCGTTTATCCTTATTACAACTATTGTTATTGCTATTATTATTGTAATTGTTACTATCACCTTATTATCATTATTTTAATTCTATTCAATGAGTATTAATTAATGAAAGCGATTTAAGATGCCAAAACCGAAGCACCAGCATGGAATCTGACCAAAGTGTTTGTAACGAACGATATACACTTCAAGCGAATTCCAACCGAAGAACCACCAAAGATGCGATATAATGAAATTGGAGTGTCACTGAACGAAGGCGAAACAAACCTGCTCAGGAAGTGCATCAAAGCGGCGTGTTCATCGCTGCTGAATGCAAAGAGTGAACTGAATCGACTCGACAGTTTATGTGGAGATGGCGACTGTGGATCAACACTGGCGCTTGGTGCTGAAAGTATGCTTTTGATTCGATTATTCGATTATTTAGTCGTTATTCGATGGTTTGTCAAGTACTTTATCGTACTATTATTATTGCTCTTGTCACTGTAATATTTTCGAGTTGAATGTTTCTTAGTATTTGCATTTGTTATTTTGCTCTATGAATATTGAACGAAATGCGGTGACAGTGGAATTATTTTTTGAATTTCAATCATATATTTTTAATTGCTAAAAATTACGTTGCAGAAGTATTGAATTCAATTGAAAGCAATACATTGTGTTGTTCAAGACCGCAAACGACATTCTTACAGTTATCACAAATATTTGAAGATGATGTCGGCGGTACTACTGGAGCTGTATGTATTATTCATTTGAGTCTGACTTAACGAGAATAATCACGTAATTTGATAATGAGTATCAGACTGATATTAATAGTGATTTGATTTGGCTAGTCTCTTAAGTATTAAATACCAAACAAAGAAATGACTGACTGGTATTCGCATTATTGAATACAGATAATAGTGGTGGAATCTATCAATTTTGATTAATCCGTAAGCACGCGATAGAATGGTATGTTCTGAGGTTCAGATAGGTTGTGGAAAGATGTGTAGTTGAAACAAGAAATTGCAGTTGTATGCG